TTTATATTTACGCGACCTAACCCCCCCAAAAAACGGTATTATGAATGATGCTACTGAACTTACATAAGAACAGTGCACTATGCCCAGCCATGGCTAACACGAAAAAGGTGTGATATATATTCTTGGTTCTTTCGGTAAAGTCACGTAGAAGGTAAACAATAAAATAATAAAAATATAAAACAATAAAATTCTCACGACGTTTAGACTGCAGCACAAGCAATCATCATCAGGTGTGAAAACCACAGCAAGAAAATTTGAAAAAAGTGGCGATATTTTAATTGTTTCCCTTCTACGTGACTTTACCAAAAGAACCAACAATATGAATCCCTGCAGTCACGAAAGCTCTAAATCAGAGGCGTGATATCTTAACCGGTGCCGCGGTCTCTCGCTTCACCAACCTGCACAGGCCAGTGTGCGTTGAAGTATGGTCCAAACAATTCCCACGACCTGGTGTTATCCTCATCACTCACGATCGATGGCCATCACAGAGGCTTTCCATCTGTCACCGACTCACGGAGAGTCCGGTCCAGCTGCTCACGCTGTCCAGCTGACTGATGCGTTTCATTTCTCTAGCCTACCATACAATCCCTTGTATGTATGAATGTAGAACTTCTTTCGCACCATACAAAGCCAACTGGGCTAATCGGAGATGTTGATCCCTTGGAGCACACTATTTATTGGTTCATAATTAGTTTTTGTTGGGTTATATAATTGTAATAAAGGTTTTTTGGGTTAGATCGCGTTATTTATAAATGTGTCGAAACCCTCAACCACCCGACATGGCCAATCAGCAAAATAAAGTGTCACGTTGACAAAAGACAAAATAGTTCACTACTTTAGCCCACCGGTGTGTTGAAGAGTGAATCCACAACATTTACAGTTTGAGTACGACGTTTCGCTGGTAATTACATCCAGCATCATCGGGTGGTGGAGGGTTACGACACATTTATAAATAACGCGATCTAACCCAAAAACCTTTATTATGAATAATATTGGTCGCGAAAGCCTACGTGTTAAACTTATATAATTGTGTAGGTACAATGTTTTTTTTACTATAAACCTCCACCACCTGACATGGGTAAATATGCCAATAGATTGGGGTTTTTCAGCAAATCCAGAATTACAATAAGCATCATCAGGTATTAACAAAAGATCTGCTCTCGTGTGGAAAGCAGAGCAAATCAAATCAATCGGCATATTTGCCCATTTGAGAACTTGATTTCATTAGCTCTGTTGCGTGCTGGAGAGTTATGGTTAAATTTCGGCATAATACTTTCACGATTCAACCCAAGAGAAACTCATAACGAATCATAGTGTTGGGTCGTAAAGCCTCCATATAAAATTCCATTATTTATTTTTGTACGTTTTCTAGTGTATTGTGTTTGTTGTATCACCTCCGATTAGCACGGGTGGCTACGTACTGTGCGAAAAAAGTTCAACATATATACTGTACATACCACAAGTAATTATTTATGGAGTCCGTGCTGCATCTGTACCATGCTTGCATAGCTCGATGGTTTATTGGTATAAGACTCGTCTGTGGCCGATTGAGTTTTTGTTGCTAGCTTACGTGCCAGTTTTTCTTTTACAGTTCGGCTCCATGAAAAGTAAAAAAAAAAACTTCTGAATCATTTGAAGTTGAACCGAGGTTGGCAGAGTGCATCGCTTTAGTTTTTGGGGGGGTTCTTTCCCCTTAAGGGGAAGTCATCTTGCGCTTCTGTGTCTTGTGTTTATTGGGGTGCTGTAACATTGTTTTGCACTGCAAACAAAGTGTCTCAATAGCAATAATAACCGCGCTATTGATTACAAAGGTAATGTTAAATCGGGCACGGCATTGTGAAATCAGAGTACACGTAGGAATGTGATTAATTGCAGCTACCATGGACCAGTGGCCAGTGGTGTAAAGCATGGCACCGTCTTCATTAAACAGAGGAGAGAGAATGACAGCTCACGATGACGATATTGGTGATGATTAGCTGTAACTAACGTTCTTGTTTTTGAAGGTTTCATCACTTCATGCCTGTTAACTGATCGCGAATAACTATTGCCACTGCTCGGAAGGCCTGAATGTGAAGGGAACAAGAGGAACACTGTTAACCACAACTCCACTCTCTCTTATTCTTGGTTCTTTCGGTAAAGTCACGTTGAAGGGAAACAATAAAATAATAAAAATATAAAACAATAAAATTCTCACGACGTTGTGACTGTAACACAAACAGTCATCATCAGGTGTGAAAACCAACGGCAAGAATCATAATCCAAATGTTTCTTGCCGTTGGTTTTCACACCTGATGATGACTGTTTGTGTTACAGTCGAAACGTCGTGAGAATTGTATTGTTTTATATATATTTTATTATTTTATTGTTTCCCTTCAACGTGACTTTACCAAAAGAACCAAGAATATGAATCACTGCAGTCACGAAAGATTTAAATCAAAATCCACTCTCTCTATTAACACCTTCATCGGTGCTGTTTGTTGCTGGTCGCTTGATATTTGTTTGGGCCTGTCCTAAGAAACTATATATTTTTTCCCATTCACTGCTTTGTTCAATGAGAGTGTATATTCAATGACGTTTTTTTTTTAAATGTGAAAGATAATGCTCACCGTCCTTTCACAAAACCCATCTTAAACAAGACATAGCTGACAACATGTTGTCAAATACATGCAATTGGGATGGAATACGAGCTACACGTGACAAATTCCATCCAGACAGCTGGACATCAACGGGCACCGTAATAATAATAATACGGAGCATTACAGTAAAAACTCAGCACGGTTTCGTCAATAGCATGTTATGTACGTGATAAGAAGGCACATTTCCCGAAAGGTCGCCTATTATATTTTAATTATTTAAAGGTCACAGGTGTGTTATTGACGTATGTGTTGAGTTGTTGTTAATTGTGCGTTTGCGCCACTGCCAATACAGCAGCATCAAATAATTTATAAATGAACGTACATTAGCAGGCTTTACGACAGCAATTATTTTTGGAACTACTCTACTTTGATATGAATAAAATATGGACATTTTGAGTCAAATGCAATCTCTTATTTTCCTAAAGTAATCCGCGATGGCTAAGGACATTTTGCTGCGCTTATGCAAACATGTTGGCTTACATCACCAAAGTATGAAAAAACAAGAATAGTTTTTTTTTGCTCTATCTGGAAATAAAACAGCAGGTGTTTAGATGTTCAAACACCAAACGAACTTTATGGCGGGACCCCGGGGTCCCGAATAAACGGAAGTCAAAATCGCAATTAATTTATTTTTAGCGACTCCGTCCCACCGCGCACATAAACGCCGCGTCCCACCTGGCGCGGATCATTCTGTTATGTCATGTCGTGTCCAAGCAGCAGCAGCAGCGAGGACGAATACGCAGAAGAAACAAAACTTTGAAACTTTGATCAGCGCATCGTGTAGAGCTCGTCGAGAGGAATAGATCGCCGCGTCGTTCGCCTTCAACAGGCATGAAATTTCGTCGCAACGCAGTTTACGCGAGAGCCGGGATGCCTGTGGGACCCCGGGATGCCGCCATGAAGTTTAAATAGAAACCTTATTATTATTATTTTATTCTCATTCTACGTGACTTTACCGAAAGAGCCAAAGAAGATGAATCCTTGCAGTCACGAAAGCTTTAAATAGAAACCTTCTGCAAGCAATCACGTCTGAATTAACCACACGTACTTGTGGTGAACGTGCAAACAAAACATGATCTGATAACACGTGCATTGTCTTTGAAACATGCATCACCAAACACCATGCATACTATACTCCCAGTTTTTTCGGTAAAGTCACGTTGAAGAGAAACAACAAAATAACAAAATATATATAAAACAATAAAAAAATATATTTTGTTATTTTGTTGTTTCTCTTCAACGTGACTTTACCGAAAAAACTGGGAGTATGAATTACTGCAGTCACGAAAGCTTTAAACCATGCATACTGTTGATGAATTATCATGCATGTTGCCCGTACGATTGGTTTTATTTTATATGTACGGTACAAACATGACTGACAGTGTCACTCAAACTCCCAATGGGGTGGGAGGGGGGGGGGCTGTGCTCATCCCCATTGAACCAGCGGTGGAAATTCCACATTACCATGGCAGGGTGCAACATTGATACCTGCAATTTATACGGGGCTCTCGCATGGGTCCATAAAATATTCATGCAGGTACCTGTTTACAGTTGTTGTTGGTGAAACCAATGAATATTTTGACTCCATTAAATTACAACTTCAAGTCCATAGCATTGGCACCGTTTATTGGTTCGTGTGGTGGAGCGGTGGTGCAGTGGTTAGCGCCCTTGCACGAGCCACCGGCTAAACATTAGCGGTGAGTGAAATCTGAACCGGCACTCCACTTCTCCCTCCTTTACCAACCTATACCGACCATCGTGGTGAAGTATGGTCAAAACCAATGCGGCATTGGGGGGGGGGGGGGGGAGAGCCAACCCCGAACGCCGTTCGTGTACGCGGGTTGAACGTGGGATGGAGGCATAGAAGTGCAGTACAACAATCGATTGTTGTTGTTGTTTGCACTTCCCTATGCAACCACGCAACATTCGATAAGCATCGAACAACAAACACCGCGCCCTGGGGCAATGCTTTATCAAGCCAACGAGTGCGCAACCCATCGCACGATAAACCGATACTCGGAGAAGCCCACAGCACATCTCCCCCATATATGGTCAAAGCTTCCGCCCAAGATCCCCGCCCCCCTCGGTTATAACCCCGCCCTCCTCGGTTATAACCCCGCCCTCTTTAGTTATAACTCTGTCCTCCCCTCCTAAGCTACAACCCCGCCCCCCCCCTCAGTTTTAACCCCGCCCCCTGAGTTACAACCTCGGCCCCCACCAGTCATAAAACCCCGCCCCTTATTACTATAACCACGCCCCCTACGTTATAACCACGCCCCTCCCCCCCCGTTACCCCTCCCCGCCCCCACCCCCACCCCCTACAGCGCTTGTCAATTCCGCCCCCCCCCGCCGCATGAGCCACTGCAGCAGCGGTGGTGGGGGTGTAGCAGTGGGTCCGGCGGCGGTGGTGGTGGCTGTGCGCGCGCGTGTGGCAACGCTGCGTGGTGGCGAACGACTCGGGCAGCGAAGGGGTTTGTTTTTTTTTAAAGCGAGAGAGAAGGGAAAGACGAGGCAGCGGATGGGGGACAACGCAGAAGAGTAGAGCGAGAGACGTCCAACGAAAGAGTCGAAGAGGGATTTGGCTTCCAAGGGACGAACTTCTTCTTTGGGTCACCGCCGCATGACAAGGTTCGAGTGCTGCTTCGCATGCGGGTGTGTTTTCTTTTGGTTACTTTTGCAAGGAGTGTGACTTCTCAATGTGCTGCATCTTGGAGGGGGTGTCCGTGGCAGCGGCGGTGGTGGCCGGCTAACCCTGGAGGCGCGGATTTAAAAAGTACCCCCCCCACGACTCCCCTTCTTGCGCGTGCGAAGATCGACCACTGCAAGAGTCGCCACTCCGCGCGTCCACCACCTTTGCGTGTCGATCGCAGACAGACGGAGGAGGGCAGTGGGGGGAGAGGGCACGGGAGCGGACAGCCTCCGACGAGCTTGGGAGGAAGCGATAAGAGCCGCACTCATCGCCGCTCGCGGTTCAAGATACGCCGGGGACCCAACGAGGAGTTTGGAAGGGAATTATCCATCACTGTGATGGGGCGATTGCTCCGTCATTCCATCGCCTCCCTTCTTCTGCTGGGGTTGCTGGCCAGCGTCACTCGCACGGGTGAGTGAGCGACCTGAGCGAAGCGGAGAGTCGCGTGTGCGTCTGTGTTACTTTACGGATGTTGGACCTCTTTCGCACCGTACGTAGTGGGCGACCGTGCTGATCGGAGGTGCGGGGCGGGGGGGGTAAACACAACTAAACGCACACAGCGGTTCTAAATAAATGTTGTTTTCAACTTAAAGCTAAGCGGGACTTGGGTCGGATAGTGCATATACATACAGGGACTTGGGTCGGATAGTGCATATACATACAGGGACTTGGGTCGGATAGTGCATATACATACAGGGACTTGGGTCGGATAGTGCATATACATACAGGGACTTGGGTCGGATAGTGCATATACATACAGGGACTTGGGTCGGATAGTGCATATACATACAGGGACTTGGGTCGGATAGTGCATATACATACAGGGACTTGGGTCGGATAGTGCATATACATACAGGGACTTGGGTCGGATAGTGCATATACATACAGGGACTTGGGTCGGATAGTGCATATACATACAGGGACTTGGGTCGGATAGTGCATATACATACAGGGACTTGGGTCGGATAGTGCATATACATACAGGGACTTGGGTCGGATAGTGCATATACATACAGGGACTTGGGTCGGATAGTGCATATACATACAGGGACTTGGGTCGGATAGTGCATATACATACAGGGACTTGGGTCGGATAGTGCATATACATACAGGGACTTGGGTCGGATAGTGCATATACATACAGGGACTTGGGTCGGATAGTGCATATACATACAGGGACTTGGGTCGGATAGTGCATATACATACAGGGACTTGGGTCGGATAGTGCATATACATACAGGGACTTGGGTCGGATAGTGCATATACATACAGGGACTTGGGTCGGATAGTGCATATACATACAGGGACTTGGGTCGGATAGTGCATATACATACAGGGACTTGGGTCGGATAGTGCATATACATACAGGGACTTGGGTCGGATAGTGCATATACATACAGGGACTTGGGTCGGATAGTGCATATACATACAGGGACTTGGGTCGGATAGTGCATATACATACAGGGACTTGGGTCGGATAGTGCATATACATACAGGGACTTGGGTCGGATAGTGCATATACATACAGGGACTTGGGTCGGATAGTGCATATACATACAGGGACTTGGGTCGGATAGTGCATATACATACAGGGACTTGGGTCGGATAGTGCATATACATACAGGGACTTGGGTCGGATAGTGCATATACATACAGGGACTTGGGTCGGATAGTGCATATACATACAGGGACTTGGGTCGGATAGTGCATATACATACAGGGACTTGGGTCGGATAGTGCATATACATACAGGGACTTGGGTCGGATAGTGCATATACATACAGGTTGGCTGGGAAGTTACGCGATGGGCAGTGCAGGGACTTTGTAGCTAAGTCCAGTGTTGTACGGTACACTGCTACAACGTCTATGGTCACCCGCCTTCATCAACCCTACACTGACCAGCGCGGTGAAGTACGGTCAAACAAACATCCCTTAGAATCCACGCGGTGCGGAGCGGCCCTCAATACAGCTGTGGATTGACAAGGGCCGATTACGTGTGCGTGGATTGTGATGGGCCCCCTTTGCCAAGTGTCTTTGGTGAGTCCCAATCTGAAGTCATCTCGCAATACAAGAAGCGGCCAGCAGAGGGCGGTATAGCAGTGGATTCTTGAATATGTCAGTGCGGCGCTTAAAGCGCTTCATCCACCTCTTGTGTGTGTGTGTTGTTTGTTTCTCTGGGCACTTCGGTTTTCTCTCACGATGAGCACGGTTGGCCACGTACGGTGCAAAATAAGTTCAACAGACATGCGTACACAAGAAGCCAAAGGCTTGTTGATATTCTCATAAAATGTTTAATATTGGCCAAACATCCCAATGCAGGACCCTCCTGAGAAAGTCGTGTGGGTCAGCGAGGCTTTACTCTCTAAATGAAGTGCATTATTGTCGTTATCAACGTACGACTCTTTTGGCGACTCTGTCCTTGGTACCACTTTCCATGACAAAGCCGTAGCGCCACTCACGTATTTGTATGGCCAATAAAGCGTGGATTATTGCGAGTGATAACCCACACGATTGGGAAGGTTATCAAAAGATTTACTTTATTGGCCATATAAAGGGATTTGGTACCACTAACGCTTAGCTGCTGCGAGTGCCGATGCATCAAATATCTTGCTCTGGGTCCATGGACTGTGCATCATCTGGACAGCACGGGACCCCCAACAGCACTCTTGTGGCTTTGGCACGGGTGTTTACATAATTGGTAAATCCTTTGCACGTGCAGTCCATCGTCATTCCACTGCTGGATGAAGGCCCTCCCCAAGCCGTGCGCGTGGTGGTCGTGGAGGGTTATTTTACCATGCTTTGAACCACTCTGCACGGTGCTAAGCCTCAAGACACTATTTCCTTTTTTTTGGCAGGGTCCTCGTTGCATCAAGACGTTTGGCCAGTTCCACGTATGAGTATTTGTACTTCGCGTGGGAGGAAACAAGAGTTGTTACCCGGTTAAATGCCACGGACTAGGAGGGGGTGCGCTCAGTTCTAAGCGTGTTTGTATTCAAGTGAATTCGAGATCGTGGGCCTTGTCTAGTAAGGTGTCTAAACTATACTTCCAGGCTGATGCTTAAAACCAAAAATCGCCTGGAGTATTTTTGGGGTGTTTTTAATCTAATACCTGTTGGAGGCTGGGGTCTGTAATGTGGTGAGACTGACAGGCTGAATGGCTGAATGTGTTTCCCCCACCCCTGGACCGTTTTTCCCCCTGTGTTTCCACTGTCTTTCTTTATAAAATGCTATATTAGTCCCCATGTACCGTAACACAACTATACGCGTGCGTGAGAGATGTGTAAAGGCATGTGTGTGTGGCTTTTCAATTAGACACCCATTGAATGAGAAGATATATAGTAGTTCCTACCTAATGCATTCATAGAGACGTGTGTGTATAAATGAATGCAGAACCTTTTGGCAAGCCACTCCTCAATGAAAGATTCCCCCCACTCTAAACTAAATGATTTAAAAATATATATATTTTATCAGCTAAGGCCCACCGCACAGCTCTTTTTCAGAAGTGACCTGGCCACAAATGATTGCTCAACTAAGTGGCTTATCACGTGGAAATGTATAGCAGCCAAATACTCTTAACGCGTGTCGTTTCTATACGTGGAGGAAGAAACCGGAGGAACCGAAGAGAAAAAAAAACGAAGAAAAATCCAAATGGCCACGGGGAGAACATTCAAACTCCAAATATAGAGGTGTCAGGATCAGTATCGAACCCACGACCTCCTGTATACCAGGCAAGGTAGTTAACATCTCGCCGCCATGGCACCCACTCTGTCTGGGACGTGGGGATTGTTTGACCTTACTTCCCTACGTTGGTCAGTGTGATTTGGAGAAGTGAGGAGGGTGAGCATGCAGTGCCAGTTTAGATATCACTCACCCCTGATGTTAGCCACTACTGGGGATTGAACTCTGGTGCCTAGGTTTTCGTGCATTTCGCACAAATCATTCAAATAACGACGAGCGGCATGCCACCATTCTATACACATGAACGTATAAGCTACACTCACGTGTGCTCTGTGCCTGATGTCCCTGTATTAAGTGCACATGCTTTACCTTACAGTGTATGCCTATAATGATACACTTGGAATATACAAGTCTGTCCTCCGTTTTAATGAATACAGCTAGAAATATATGAAAGGTTTGTGTGTGTGTGTGTGCGTTATGTTTAAAGGAACTGCTCGTTGTTTAAATACTGACACTGGTAACCCGGACATCTTGAATACACACCGGAATCTATAAAAGAAAACAAATTCCACCCATTCTTGTCCACCTGTGGATGAAGTCCTCGCCACGCCATTAAGGGATTTTGTTTTGACCACCGTGGTCAGTGAAGGTTGGTGAAAAACCAGGGAGGGCAAGGCCAGTTATGATATCACTGGCCAATGATGTTAGCCATGGCCCGGGAATTTAACTTGAGTCCCTGGATTCCCAGGGCAACGTGCTAACAAATGCACCACCACTCCACCCCACGATATCCATAGCACGTCTTAACAACATTACAAGAGGTGACTGGAATTTGATTTACACCGTTCACAATGGCTTCTGGGACATTACACCTCTTCTCTTGGAAAATGTATTATTCTTTATCAGCTGTCCAAGATCTGCATCTATTATTGTTCCGTGTTGCACACTCGTACTTGTAAATAAAACTATTTTAAACAGAGCGGTCCCGTCACATGCAGCTGTCGTTGACATTGCATCCCGTGCCTCTTCTACTGGGTGATACTTTGTGCTCAATTGGACGGCACTTAACTGTTGTTTCAAATCTTCTCGTTGCTGCATGGGTGGCTCACCTAGAAGAGAGGAGGGAGGGGGGGAGCACGAAAAAAAGCGAAGTCCTCGTTGTTTTTAATTTCTCGCATTCCTGAGCTATTGCGATAGCGGTCTTTTTTCAGAGTCAATGCGCTATCACAAAAGGTCCTCTCTGACCCACCACCCACACTGCATGCCATCGCCACCGCCACTGCCGCCACCACTACCACCCCCAGATAAACGATCCGTGTGTTATCATGGCCACGGTGCTGTTCGGGCAATGCTCAACTCCTACGGTGGCCGGGGGCTGCTAGTGGAAACTCCACATTTCTATGGCTTGGTAGAGTCTTAACAACCACTGTTAGCTTGGCACTGAGTATGTGTTGCAGCCTTAAGCAGGCGGTGCTGCTTTCAGGAGAATGACCCGGTGTTGATGTCACGTGGAGAATTAGCAAAACGTTTATAGTACGAGCGATGGCTGTGAGTTTCGATATCCAGTCAAGAGCTTCAGGAGATGCAGAGTGACTTTCAGAGCTGTTCCTGGGGAATGAGGAACAGCAGGAGAGAGTTCACAAAATATTCCAACGTTCAAAGTTCATGACGTCCACGCTGTTGTGGAGTGTCCTCTTTGAGTCAGCATTTGTGCGTAAGATATCTGCAGAAAA